CTAGAGGAGCCTGGGCCCAGTGGCTGCTGGAGGATCCTGGGCCTGATTTAGTACTCTGTTCAAATAAAATAATTATTATGGGTGATATCCATGTAGATGTTAAAAATGACAGTCTCAATCAACGTGGTATTTAATATTTTATTAGATTCAATTGGCTTCCCTCAAAAGGTGAAAAGATTTACGAAAAGCACCGTTGAGCAAAGTATTCCTTTAACGTCAACTAGGAATGACTTAATGAATTTATTCACAAATCAAATTTTAACAATTAGAGAAAAAATTACTCATAGTGATCTCACAGATCTAACATTATCTACACATACTTTGAGTACCATTTGTATTTATTTAGTCTTTTTTTCCAATTGACCTTTCTGAGTTAACATAAGTAATTACTTCTTCCAAACCATCAACGTGTCTTATAGACCCCATTCTTACAAGACTGCTGAAAGACTGTTGCCTATGTACTTCAGGCCTTCAAGCTGGCAGTAGTTAAACTTAAAAAGCCATCTCTTGACCCTGCGGTTTTAGATGTTTATAGGCCAATTTCTAACCTTTCATTTCAAAAATTGTCAAACAGCTAATAGATCATATGCAGACAAATGGCTTATTTGAAGAGTTGCAATCAGGTTTCAGAGCTCATCAAAATACAGAAATGCCTTTAGATAAGTCCCAAAAAATTGATTCTGATCATCTGGACGTAGCATCTCAGTGGGAGAAACGTTTCGTCACTCATCCAAGTGACATCTTCAGTTTCAGATGACTGCAGGTTTCCCCAACCTCATAAACAGTACCTTTGCACAATGACTGAAACCAGCCCACTGAATGAAAAAAATGGGCTGTGAGGTCAGCTCCTGGATTATTACTATCCAAACTGGCATGACCAAAGATCAACAACCGCTGAACAAAGACCATCGCTGAACCAATTTTACAATGCTGTGATTGCAGCCATTTGCTAACTCGCTTTTAGTGAATTTTACAAATGATCTTCTTGGCCCCTGACAGTAGTCAGTCTAGCTTATCCTGCTAGACCTCAGCGTTCGATAATGTTGACCATAATATTCTATTAGAGCGATTAGAACATGCTGTAGGTATTACAGGTACTGCACTGAAGTGGTATGTATCATATCAATCAAATAGCCTCTAATTGTTCTGTAGTTTCTGTGCCAGGACCAGTTTACATGCTTCCCTTAGGCAGTATCGTCAGAAGGCATAGGATGAATCTTCACTGCTATGCAGATGACACCCAACTTTATCTATCCATGAAGCCAGATAACATACACCAATTAGTTTGATGTGTGTTAGAAAAATGTTTTAAAGGCATAAAGACCTGGATGACCTCTAATTTTCTGTTTCTAAATTCACAAAAAACTGAGGCTATTGTTCATTGTTATTTGTTCATCTTGAGTGCAAACAAGTGCAACAAGGAAAAGTATCATTTTGATGCATTGATTACATATATTTGTTTTACTGTTTATTTCACTGCTGGTTTCTTACAGGTGAACGTTCTTGCACTGTGTATCTGTGCACGTGAAGCTTATCAGTCAATGAAAGAGAGAAATGTGGACGATGGGCACATCATAAACATAAACAGGTGCAGTTTTATTTTACTGATGGACAGTGATGGGTATGCTTGTGCAGTTTACACAAACATCTTATAATTCAGTCATTCTTTTGGCAACTCTGCACAATGGACTTTTCTCACAGCACACATTGTATCTCCCCCTTTAAGAACCCTACTATAGCCAATGAGTGTTTTTATTACTGGTAGGTCCAATAAAAATAAATACCAGACTGCTGTGTCAATAACAATATATTAGAACCAAAAGGGACATCTTCATATTGCTTTCATTGGCCAGCTAGCAGTTCAGAACTAAAAGATTTTTGAGTTTACTATGAAAATCATCAAGAAAAATGAAACCAAATCTAATTGCCATAACCGAGAAATGTTTTGCTTTTTTTAAATCTCAAAACACAAGTACCTTCCTGGTTATACATTATATAGAAACTTTTAAATTACAGCACAACAGCATAGTGATGCAGTGGTTAACACTGTTATCTCACAACTTATCTCACAAATCCAGCATCTGGCAAGTGTCTTTCTCCGTGTAGTTTGGATCTTCTCCCTGTGTCTGCAGGAGTTCTCACCTTCCCACATAGTCCAAAGACATGCAGTAAGTTGGGTTAGTTTAGTTGAACTGTGTCTGTGTCTCTGTGTCCTGTGACAGACTTGGGACCTGTCTGTGCTGTACCCGAGGCTCCAGGACCCTGAATTAGATAAGCAGAAGAAAACAGGTGGAGGTTAAACGATATAGTAACTGTTGCCATTGTTGTTGTAACACTTGTAAATATCCTCTGTTGCAGTGTGTGCGGCCATCAAGTGTTTCCTAATCCTGACGGACATTTCTACACCGCCACAAAGTATGCTGTAACTGCGCTGACTGAGGGCCTGAGGCAGGAGCTGCGTGCAGAAAACACTCATATCCGGGCCACAGTAAGCTTTTGAAAGATACTGTAACCAGCTCCAAAGTACCTTTAACACTAATGTCAGCTGTTATGCACACAGAGTACTTCTTGAAGAATCCTCATTAATAATGTCATTTTGCAGAGCATTTCTCCTGGCGTTGTGAAGACAGAATTTGCATACCGCGTCTACAGAGACAATTCTGATAAAGCAGCTGCTGTATACACTAAAAATAAGGTAAAAATCATTATTCCTTTATTTCCTACAATCGCTACAGTATTGTTGATATGATTACTATTAAAATTTCATTAAGCACTTTTCACTTCTTTGACAGTCACTGGAAGCAAAAGACCTCGTCCATGCCGTCACATATGTGCTCGGTGCCCCTCCTCATGTTCAGGTTTGAGATTTTCTCTCATTTTCCTCTTTTTTGTGACCTTTTGAACTTTTCTATTTTCCATTTTAAATATCAGCAGTTTAGTCATAAGATAACATTCATCTATCTTTTCTTTCAGATTGGGGAGATTTTGCTTGAAAGTCTGTAGCAGGTGTCATGCAACTTGGCCGTGAGACCCATCCCAATCTTTACATCAAAGTAGTGTGACCGGCTCTCCTTACTTCTCAACACTGTCAGATTGTAATCAATTCACAGAAGGATAAAATAAAGGAAACTCATCCAGCTGTTTTCTGTCTAATTGTCTTCTTATCCACCACTTCCCCTGCCAGTGGCGGACTCCCTCAGACATCGGTGCGTTGGTGGTTCTTTGTGTCCGGGGATGGGCGTCCAGGTACACACCGGCTCACTCCTTGGCGGCCGCTTATCGGGGCCTGGAGCCTGGGGCTTGCTCGGGCCACTTCGGAGGTGGGGTGCCCCCGGCCTCTCGGCCTGGGGCTCGGTCACTCAGGCACGGCTGGCTGCCGGCGGAGCTCACGGGCGCGTCACTGCAACTCCCCCTGGCTTCTGCTCCGTGGCTGCTGAGTGAGCCCTCATCTGGGACTCTCCTCAGCTCTTTCTGGGACAGTGGCGCGGCTGCCCCTCTGTTGGTCTTCCTTGGTCTCTTGTGTTCTGGGGGCCTCTGGATGTCTGGAGTTTTGATCTCCTCCATACCTGCTTCATGCCCTGGAGGACGGGGCTGTGGCCCCCCCACACCCTCTAGCAGATCATTACATGAAGGAACCTTTTAAAAAACAAAAAACAAGCGCGTCCATGCTCACAGGTGTACACACGGGTGGTCACACCCACAAACTACACCCTTTTTGGCTCCTACCTCAAAGCACACTGTGTTCTGTTGATCTTATGTGCTGCACAATAATGTTTAATATTTAGTATTTACTGTCATATTCCCATATATCATTGTGATGTTGTTTATTCTATTACTCTTGTTCTCTTCTGCTTGTTTTCTTTTTTCTTTCTCAGCAGGTGATCCAGGTGATTGATATATGCATTTTTTTTTCCTCTGCCCGTTTTGTTGGTTTTTGTCTTTTGCCCTTCTCCCCCGTCCCTCTTCTCAGCTGTTTCTCTTTCCCTCTTTCTTTCTCCCCTTCTTTCCCCCAGTCAAGTCTGTCCCGTATTCAGTAAGTGAAAATAAAATAAACAATAAAAGGTGAATCAAATGGACCATTACGGCAAGGCTGGGATGGTCAATTTGGTAAAGTAAATCCGTTGGGCATCTTTCTTTGCCTTTAGACAACAAAAAAGAAAAAATTGTCTTCTTATCAAAGGCCCCTGTGGTACCTTTTCACAAACACCCTGCTGGCCAGCAAGGAATGCCCATGAAAACACTTTAATTAACGACAGCTTCCTTCTTATTGTAACAGATCTCAGTTGCTGGATAGTATTTAATCTCTAAGAGTGTTTTTACTGTTAAGTAGATGTTCATTTCAGCAGGTAGAACCTTAGCTGGTTGGGGGGGGGGGGGGTTGCATGGAGCAACCGTACAAGTCATAAGGGCCTAAAGACTGATGAACAAAGGTCACTTACCAATGTATGTTCTCCAACCAGTTGGTGAATGGTTGCTGGAAGTTGTTGGCAGTCACTAGATAAAATTCGTGGCAAGGAGGTATATGGTGCTGTACTAAAACCTCTGTGTGGTTCCTTTGTATGGTAGCAGATTTCTACACTCTCCGGGAGTTTGTGTGGATGATGCAAATATGTCTACAAGCACTCACCAAATTGCTTAGTGTCTTGACACTTTGACACTGCTCCGCAAGCACAATGCTCCATTGTCAAGGATGCAATAGAGAACCGTTTGTTAGTGTTCATTTTTGGCTCTACTAAACAATACATTTGGTGTACAGTGGGGCAAAAAAGTATTTAGTCAGCCACCGATTGTGCAAGTTCCCCCACCTAAAATGATGACAGAGGTCAGTAATTTGCACCAGAGGTACACTTCAACTGTGAGAGACAGAATGTGAAAAAAAAAAAATCCATGAATCCACATGGTAGGATTTGTAAAGAATTTATTCGTAAATCAGGGTGGAAAATAAGTATTTGGTCAATAACAAAAATACAACTCAATACTTTGTAACATAACCTTTGTTGGCAATAACAGAGGTCAAACGTTTACTATAGGTCTTTACCAGGTTTGCACACACAGTAGCTGGTATTTTGGCCCATTCCTCCATGCAGATCTTCTCGAGAGCAGTGATGTTTTGGGGCTGTCGCCGAGCAACACGGACTTTCAACTCCCGCCACAGATTTTCTATGGGGTTGAGGTCTGGAGACTGGCTAGGCCACTCCAGGACTTTCAAATGCTTCTTACGGAGCCACTCCTTTGTTGCCCGGGCGGTGTGTTTTGGATCATTGTCATGTTGGAAGACCCAGCCTCGTTTCATCTTCAAAGTTCTCACTGATGGAAGGAGGTTTTGGCTCAAAATCTCACGATACATGGCCCCATTCATTCTGTCCTTAACACGGATCAGTCGTCCTGTCCCCTTGGCAGAAAAACAGCCCCATAGCATGATGTTTCCACCCCCATGCTTCACAGTAGGTATGGTGTTCTTGGGATGCAACTCAGTATTCTTCTTCCTCCAAACACGACGAGTTGAGTTTATACCAAAAAGTTCTACTTTGGTTTCATCTGACCACATGACATTCTCCCAATCCTCTGCTGTATCATCCATGTGCTCTCTGGCAAACTTCAGACGGGCCTGGACATGCACTGGCTTCAGCAGCGGAACACGTCTGGCACTGCGGGATTTGATTCCCTGCCGTTGTAGTGTGTTACTGATGGTGACCTTTGTTACTTTGGTCCCAGCTCTCTGCAGGTCATTCACCAGGTCCCCCCGTGTGGTTCTGGGATCTTTGCTCACCGTTCTCATGATCATTTTGACCCCACGGGATGAGATCTTGCGTGGAGCCCCAGATCGAGGGAGATTATCAGTGGTCTTGTATGTCTTCCATTTTCTGATGATTGCTCCCACAGTTGATTTTTTCACACCAAGCTGCTTGCCTATTGTAGATTCACTCTTCCCAGTCTGGTGCAGGTCTACAATACTTTTCCTGGTGTCCTTCGAAAGCTCTTTGGTCTTGGCCATGGCGGAGTTTGGAGTCTGACTGTTTGAGGCTGTGGACAGGTGTCTTTTATACAGATGATGAGTTCAAACAGGTGCCATTCATACAGGTAACGAGTGGGGGACAGAAAAGCTTCTTACAGAAGACGTTACAGGTCTGTGAGAGCCAGAGATTTTCCTTGTTTGAGGTGACCAAATACTTATTTTCCACCCTAATTTACAAATAAATTCTTTACAAATCCTACCATGTGAATTCATGGATTTTTTTTTCACATTCTGTCTCTCACAGTTGAAGTGTACCTCTGGTGCAAATTACTGACCTCTGTCATCATTTTAAGTGGGGGAACTTGCACAATCGGTGGCTGACTAAATACTTTTTTGCCCCACTGTAAATAAACAAACGCAGGTATCTGAGAGAGTAAGCTTTTAAAGGAGCTATCATGTCAATATAAAACTTTGACTACCAAGAAAACATAGGTTTGACTTAAAAAACTGGCAGCAGCAGTTCTGGCCACCTTGGTGTTTTGGTCCCTTTCAAGTGTGACTTGACCAAAGAGCAATAGATTCTGGCCATGACCAATGTTCCCTCTAATTTTTCATGTGTCTGAGCGAACACACAAACTCCCTGAGCGATCCCTTGGACCACTGTGAGCAACAGCAGACGTGTGCACTGTGGTCACGCCAGCATCGAATCCATCCAAGTTACATGGTTTATTAAAATAATCAAATTACAGCATTTACATTTATGTTAGACTACTTTTAATTAACTGCTTTAGCCCACTTACAATGAAAATTTAAAAAAATCTTGTTCATGACCTGTGTAGTATGTTAACACTATTGGAAGTAAAAATAACTTGAACTCCAATTTTGAAAACAAAACTTAATTTTTATTTTATTTTTTTTATAAAGCGCTGACTTGAATTATGAGTATGGGTCTGTGTTCTGGGAGAGAGTCCTGTAACTCTGTCTGCAAAATACAGTATATTGACCAATGTTGGACAATTAACAATTAAATGTTGGACAATTTTTTTTTTAAATAAACATTTCAAACTATTTACAGAACAATCAGCTGTTCTGCATCAAATTTGATGCCACACAAATTATTTGTGTCACTCCAAAAAATAATTTCTGTCCACTATGAGATAAAGGAGAACAACAGCCTGATACCTGCAGGCCTGACAACAGGAGATGTATCACTCCTGTAACACCTGTAACATTCAGCAGTCGCCTCATTGTTCTGACACACACAACAAAACTATTGACTACACTACACACTAACTACACAAGATTTGCGCTAAACGTCGCAAATCTCTCACATCTCAAAACACCGCCGTCACTCCTAAAACTTCCCCCTTCCTAAACAACTAAATGCCATGTTGCCATATCATTTTTTGATTGGTCGACATGGTACATTTTTCCACCAATAGGAAAGGGTGGGGTTTTTTCGTGTTTTTGCTCACAGGCGGAGAGTGCTTTTGAGCGTTTTCTTTATAAAACACAGTTTTTACTGTTTCTTCCCACAGTAAATATAAACAAGATAGTATTGACTATGTGCACGTTAGCATATGCTACTTCCGGTGCGGAAACTCCTGTGGGGAGCTTTGTTTCCGGTGTCCTATTCGCGCCTTGTTTACGGTCCAAAACAAGTTAAGCAAATGAATGAATCAAGCGGCGATTTACATTTCTATAGATGTCTTGGGCATTTACCCAATATATCTGTAAATGATGTTCATCGACTTGTCGATATTTTTCCCCCGCGCCTCAGAGCAAAAGAGAAAAGGATTCAAATGTTATATTTCTCAGCTGTCCCTCGTTTATCGCGGGTGTTATGTTCTAAAAATAACCAGCGAGAGGTGAAATCAAGGAGCCAATTTTATTTTTTGACGGTGCAAAACGTTTGGTGGACATCGTGGACATACAGCACTGCACTTCAGTCACACTGCTAGCATCGATGCAGCGATTCTGTACTGTACAGGAGAGACGTCACGGAGGAGATCGTCTGCAGCGATCAGGACGCAGGACACAATGTGACGTAAAAAAAATAAGCATGCAAACTTGCACTAAAAAATCCGAAACAGCGAGGTGAAAGGTGAACCGCGTTATAGCGAGGGACCGCTGTAATTTTGAAGGTAAGTCACAACATACCCTTCGTAAATACTAATGTATAG